CCACCCCACCCCCCCCAGTGCCTCTAAGGCTTTATAGCTGGAGATAGGAAATAATAACTAGCCACAAGTATAAGCTAATAAACAATATTGCAAAATGTTTTCTTGCATTGATTAGGAGTATTGTAACTCCCTAAAAGTAGTATCTTTTTTTTTTATGTTTTGTTTTGTCTTCCTCTGGGAAATCTTTAAAAAAATAAGTCTCTACGGAGAAGCAAAGAAATGCAGTTTACTGTCAGCACAGGGCCATAATCAAAATAGCAAATAGAGACCTTCCTCACTATCTGTCTCAGCTAAGAACAAGTCTGTTAAGAATCACTAAGAAGAAACAAGGGGATAAAATGTATTATTGAGGTTTTCTAGGGTTTTTTCCATTGGAAATACCAAATGCCTTTCTTCCATTCCACTTCTAAAAGGAAGGGAAGGGAAGACTAGAAAGGAGTGCAGGAAATGTTTCCCACGTGGAAGGAATTGCTAGTGGAGGGAAAAGACATAGTATCAGGTTAATCATCTGTTTGCTTTTGCTTATGACCTCTTAAAATGTCCCATAACTTGATATGTGGACAAAGTTTCTTCTATAATTCAATTGTTTTTGTTTTTAAGACTAAAACATTCAACTATCCCACTGAGAAACATCTGCGGTTCAGTCAACTCACTCAAACTAAACTGTTTGAATCCTGAGTTCATCATTATTTCTATAAAGAGATCTCCTTCCTAAAATTTGTGTGTGTGATCTACCAGATTATCAATGCCATGTTCCACAATAAAATATAGTTGCTTTCATTAAAACCTTTGAGAGCACAAAATATTGCTAAACATGCCCATTAGTTTTTGCGTGTTTTTATTTGCATTTAAATTTAATCCCATGATTGAAATACATTATTGGTGCTTAGATGGTGAGATGAATATCTTCATTTTTGTTCTAGGAACCCACAGCAGTGAAATGTTCTCATGGAAAAGGGTTTTCCAGACCTGCTAGGCCAGCAAATCGCCGTCTCCCATCCAGATGGGCATCCAGATCTCCATCTGCACCCCCAGCTCTGCGGAGAACTGTCCACAACGATACCATTTCTCTGAGGTCCGAAGCATCACTGGTCTAAGTCTGGTCTGGATTGTTCTGTTACAAAAGCTCTAGTCCCAACTGCCAATCAGAGCATCCGAGTGTTTCCGGCTGGTCCTATGGTATCTTTCAAGATCACTAGGACATGCAATTTAAATCCCAACTTTCCATCAGTCTTCAGTGTTTTTAATCTTTGGAGTAATTACCTTCCTGTATTTTGATTTGTTAGATTTGTTTAATGCCATTCTCATTAATTTTCAAATATGATTTAAGTTTAAACAGTGTACAATATTGTATATTCTAACTTTCTTGCAAGTGACAGAAAGCAAGTGGTAACGTGCATGGTCGTATGTTCATAGGTGCATGTGTCAAAATTGAGAGTATCCCAGTATGTATTTAGATGAGAAAAATTTATGTGCTAGTGTTGACTTTGAAATAATAACATGTATACCTATATATTCTTTGTGTTTATTTTATATTTTTGAAAATATACAATATACAATACCATTTATATTTTGTATGCCTCAGGTATTCCTCTAAAGAGGTATTTGAGGTACATACATTAACCATTGTCCCAATCCCAAACTACATTGAAAAGTAAGAACTATACACCTCTAATATTGATGGACTTTTTAATAGGACTTCTAAATACCTTCTTAATCCATATAAGGAGAAACTTGTACCATTGATCACCTTTGCTTTTGCTTTTAAAGAAAAATGTCACAATTTTAAAAAAAATCATTTTATTGGGGGCTTGTACAGCTCTTACCACAATCCGTACATGCATCCATTGTGTCAAGTACATTTGTACATATATGGTCATCATCATTTACAAAGTGAAATGTCACAATTTTAACAGTTCAGCTTTCTGAAACAAGCATAAAATGTTCACAAATGCTTTCATATTTCATTGGTAATAGATTGTGACTTGAACTTCATACTTGTTTTCAGAGCCAGTATTTATGAGACCACCTTATAAATGACATTCATAAATAATAACGTTATTTTTCTTCAGGAGCAAACATTCCTCAAATAGGATATAAAAAAAATTTAATTACATTGAATTCCAATTTTGCTAAAAATGTGGTAAGCCTTTAGTTGCTGTGTACAGATTTAGAGATAAGGTGGTCACATTTTCTTCTTTCTTTTTTCCTAAAATTATTAAAGGAGTAAGTCACATTTATATTAGTAAGAGAAATCAGGAGTAGGACTTTGTTGAGAACTGAATTGTAGTATCTTCCTTATGCTGTGCTGTATTAAAAAAAGCCTTAAACTTAAGTTTAAGTAGTAGAAGACAGAATATTGTATGTAGAGAAAATTTGCATAACACATAAAATCTCTATTGAGAATTGACAGAAATAGGAATGCTGAGGTGCCTAAAATTCCTACATGGAATATCTTGGAAGCTACTTTGCTCTCCACTGTTTCTGTATAATACCAACTGTGTTATTAGTTAGATACTAATTCTATTTAAGCATTTGTTACCAAAAAAGGCCAAGAAATCCATATTCCAAAAGTATTCAAGGAGCCTTTTCATTGTGATGTATTGTCACCACTTAGAGAAAGTCGCTTTTATCGTACACCATGACTCGAAGTGAAGTAAATAATGTTCAAAACTCAAACTGCCTTCAGGGCTCAAGACTGTTGCACAGTGATGGATCGAGCAACACTTCCAAATGTTGAATTAGACTCGCAGAAGCTGAATTTGGATTGAACAGTAAGCAAGGGCTATCAATCCACTATTTTACCAAGTGATACCATACTCATAATACACTATTCATTCGGAGGGGAGGAAACACTGGAGACGCAGTAGCCTAGTGAGTTAGATGACGGACCTTTGTGAAGGAAGATGCTGTGTACAGCATTGAAAGTCTGCCCAGGAACCCTAGCCCCGTGCGACATCGCTGTTCATCGCCGTCCCTGTATCACCTGAGTCTAACTATAAAGCAGAATATTGGGAATTTCTTTAAAACTGAGTTCCTTGACTTTGCTCTCTAATTACTAAAGCACAGTTTCTAGCATTGGAGACTGGGAATTCGGAGTCTTTCATAAAAGAAAACAAAGCAAAATGTGTGATGACCAGGCAGCTTGAGAGAACCGGTGACATTGTTTGACAGCACACCCCTAAGTGGTGACCTTCCTGGGGTTTCCTGAGTCCCACCTTTACTCTCAGTAAAGTAAGAGGGTCACATTGACGGTCTTTGCCATGACAAGTCTTTCTCTATTCCACTTCCACTTGATTGGAAAATGCCCCAACATTTTACGTTTGCTACAGTCATGAAATATTAGAACTGGGGAAGGGAAAGAAAAAAAGCTTAGCATCTCATCCAATCCTCTTTAATGTAAGGAGAAAAATACAAAAACAGGAATCATTAGCCTTGAGAAAAATGTTGATGTATACATTTTAACTGGTCTTTTTTTTTTACTTTGGATGATCGCTATGATCACCAATGACACATTCTTCATTATGCGCCATCATTACTGGATTAAAGGTATTTGTAATTATTTTCAGAAATGTTTGATTATAAACACTTTTGTTAATATGTTTCCTTAGATTTTGGGGGGAAATTTGTTAGGTTGTTTCAATAGAGGATTGATTACTGTTACTATGGGCTGAGCTCAGAAAGTAAAAAGAAAGAAGCACCACGGAAAATCGGTTGTGTGTGCATGTGTGTGTGTGTGCGTGTGCGGCATGCTCTTGTGCGTGTGCGTGTGCTCTTGTGCGTGTATGATTTGTGTGTATGTGAGCGTGTGAACATGTACATCTGTACAAAAGTTCTCTATTCTGCCTTAAGTCCCAAAGCCAGATATAAAAATATAAATCGTGCTTTATATAATTTGCTTTGTTAAAATTTATCCATGACTTCCCTTTGGTTTTATATAGACAGTGAAGATCACCATATTTCATTTTGCAAATATTATGTATATTGTCACAAAACATTTACTTCTACAAGAGATTTTTAACCAGACTCTTTATCATCTTGTGAAAATTTAGTGGATCCCAAAAAGAAACTGATTACTTACCAAAAAATTTTCAAAATTATATTTTAAGCACATTTGTTGATAAACAGCTACAGGTTTGCCTCATTTAACATCCACAATGCTTTGTTTGAATTGGCATGTTGTGTGATGTGGATGCGATGCAAACACCATATGATAGGCTTATATCAAACACATTCCTAAATCTCAAGCAATAGCATTCAAAATTTCCACCTTCATATTGTTTCACATTGAACTTTGAACCAGTTCATGACATTTCATCCCTCTGCTGAGAATTTGTATATCCACCCCAGAATCAGAGACTACATTTAACAACACCTTGAGGTGATGTTTACAGATCCCTAGATGGTTCTTGGAGATCTCCGCATGATTTTTCATGCATACACACCACTCGATGCCGACGAGCAGATGATTCTTTCTGCTCATCGGTAGCGAAGGGAGGAAAGGGGCAGGGGGAACTGCCCCTGTGCGTTTCTGGAACTCTAACTACATGGGAGTAGAAAGCCCCATCGTCGCTCTGAGAGTAGCTGGGGGTTTTGAACTGCGGACCTTAAGGTTAGCAGCCCACTGCACAACCAGGGCTCCTCTATGTCTACATAAGAGTACATGATTATATGTACATTAGAGTTATGTAGGAGTCTTTTTTTAATGTAGAATTAGAGCCAATATATCTGGGATGAAAATGCAAATTCTCGGCAGAGGGTTAAATTGATTCAATTCCCTGTTGTTTCACTTCCAAGTCCATACTCTCCAATGCCTCCTGCTGGGATGCTAACCCCAGCACTGATTTTGCTGTGTTTGGGAGCCTTGAAATGCTTTGAGCTAATATTTTCAGATGGAAATTAACCCACTAAACACTCCAGAAACCTGCAACACGCAAGATGGGATTCTGCTGCCTACAAGTTGAAACATACATGGTTATATGGTATACTTTTTATTTGTAATTAGGGAAAATTCACAGTAAAATAATGATAGAAAGTAAAGCTCATACATATTCCAGGAATAAAGGTATTTATTATGATTATTAAGACAGCATGGATTATAAATTTTATATGTATCACTATATGCCTGGCAATGCAATTGCTTTGCATACAAGGGACATGACATACACATGCTACATGCAGAAAACTGTTACGTTCACGACCTCAGTTACTTCTGCGATGTCCCATTCTGTCAGAATTTCTGAATTCTAATAGGATATGGCACCAAGAATGTATATGTAGGCAGATGGGGCATAAACGGATGTTAAGAGGTGCATGACTGTACATGATATTGAAATCCCCTTCTGCAAAAGAAAGAAAAAAAATTCACAAAGCATCAAAATTAAAGCCAAATAAGTAGGGGATGGAGGGTGTTCCAGGCAAGTGCCTGAGATGATTTCTATTCAAATCATTTTTACTGTATGTAATTTTTTTAATCCAGAAAATCGTTCTCTTTCAGTGGGGGGGGGGGTGCAAATTACAAGACTTTATGATACAAATCACAATTTTATAACATCAACTGATAAATTGGGCAAATTCTAGGGGTGAGAGATTGCTGTTTATCTGAAGCTGTGGAAGACTAGAATTGAAAGGAAGACATGCAGAACGGTTGCAATTCAGAGGTGAGACCCTGAGACTCAGAGGTCTGCTTGGACAGCACCCAAGCCTGAGCTCAAACACAGTGTACCGGCCCTGTATAAACGCACGCCCACGCGCACCCATGACTGGTGTCTGCAAGGCAGAGTCCTGGTCCTCCAACTGTTTACTTCTCACATAAAACTTGCAGCAGATAATGTGATTTCTAATTACAGAAAGTAAAATGAAATAAACCCCTAAAATAATAGAAATGGATGACTCTTCAGGCTCCCTGCTTGCATGAGGCTGCAGGACCTCTTTTTGGAGCAGGTGGTGGGTGATGAAGAGCAAGAGAGAGTGAACAGTTCTTTCACTTCTGTGTTCTGCATGAGTCTGAAATGATTGGTTTTTATTAAGAGTGTCTCCTAATTCTTACAGCAATCTTAACAGAAAGTCATCATGCATGCTTTATATGGTTTCAACAGAAGAGCAGTTAGGAAGTTGTCAGCAAGGTACATTTAATCAAAATATTCTTCACTGTCAATACCTATCGTCCAATTTTACATAATTGTTACATGTAGAACAAGATATTGAAATAAAGTCAATAGTAGCTAAGAAAGCTTCATTTATAGAATCAACTCTGAATTCTGACTGCCTCTGTTTTCAAAAGAATCACCAAAAAAATGCCCATTATGTATGGCTGTCATATACTCTGGAATTAATGAGAACCTTCCACTTCCGGGTCTGCAGTGATTTCTAATTTATACTCTTATTCCAAAATTACTTCAACTCGAACAATTTCTTTTTGAAGTTGAATTTTCCAATTAAGTTATGTACCTGATAATTTTGTAAGCAAGTTTAATCTAGCTGTTTGGTATTTGCAGTTTTGCATAGTTCTCAAAATCATACCAGCTTCGAAAGCAGTGGTTCTCAACCTGTGGGTCGCAACCCCTTTCACAGGGGTCACCCGATTCATAACAGTAGCAAAATGACAGTTATGAAATATCAATTAAAATAATTTTATGGTTGGCGGGGTCACCACAACATGAGGAACTGTGTTAAAGGGTCATGGCATTAGGAAGGTTGAGAACCACTGCTCTACAGAATAGTAAATTATTTTAACCTGAATAATTTTTTTTTGATGGAATCTTTTTCTTATTATTATTAAATACTTTTATTGGGGGATCTTACATCTCTTTTTTTTTAACATTTTATTAGGGGCTCATACAACTGTTATCCCAATCCATACACACATCAATTGTGTAAAGCACATTTGTACATCG